CACAGAGGTCAGAACACAATAATCACTGATCTGACGTATATTTAACCTGCACTGATTGGGTTCACACTAGCTGCAATGAAATGCAGATGGGAATCTCACTGCAATGTAGAGAAACTTCCTCAGCTACCAACTTCAGCACGGATTGGATTTTGCTCTTTTGCCCTTTCTTCTCCTTGACATTCTGCAAGAGCAGCATTTTTGTGGTGTTTGGTTAGAGAATGCTGGAAGGGCAGTAAATCTTGCTCCTGTTTTGAAGGCATTATAATTCTTGGGTAAAATATATGTTTGAAAAGTATATGTGTAACTGTTGTTAAAATGAAGATACTGTGGGGCGTCCCTCCAAGCCCGTGCTAGAATCGGTAGTTAAATGCATTGAAGTGAGAAATAACTTGGTTTCCAACTCAACGTTCTCCCCTGCTCATGCTTTTTATTTATCAAAGCATTTAAGAAATTTTTAGGGGTTTTAGTATGTGGGCTGAGTAAGACTGTTCACATCTGAGTGTGTCCTTTAAGTGCTTTGGGAAAGCAGGGCTACTGAATGTGCTGCTGCTGTAACTCTTGTTAGCTTCTGGCTATCCAAACAGTTCCTTTGAAGTTTGAACTTGTTAATCAAGAGTTTACATATAATATGTGTTGACCAACACCCTTCTGTGTTCGCCATTGTTCTTTGGCCAACACACTTTCTGTGTTCACCATTGTTCTTCATCCAAATTAATAGGCTCAAGTTCGGAGAGAGTCTGTGAAGCTAAATGAGGTGTGTGTCTTGGTGATGGCAGCTTAAGATAATAAAAGAGCAGCTTTTGGGTACCCACAGATGGGCCATATTAATTATTAGGGCACTTTAAAAGCTTATGGTTTTTATTTTTTAAATGCTGTGAAAAGCTTTATTGTTTATTTGGTCCACTGCGCTGATTTCTAAAGGTGGTCCTGGGCATGCAGTAGGAAGCACTGGTGAAATGCCAAAAAGTAAGTCTTGCTGTGTAGCTGTTGAGACAAATGCATTGAAATACAAAGCAAATATAAGGTTAATAAGTAAGGAATCCTCATAAACTTTCTAAAAAGTATTTTAAAGGGATATTTTAAGTATACTTGAGAGTAAAAGTAGAATTGACCAGAAGTTAAACTTCCTTCTACTTAATTTAGTTTGTAACAGCAGCTTGTTTTTTTAAAACAAATGGACAGAATACAAAAGTGTTTGGCTTGCATTGCTTTCACCCTACATGATGTTCACACTGGACTCCAAAAGATCCACTGGCTTAAATAAAGTGGTTTTTAAGATGTATTTGCTTTGTTTGCAAAGGAAAAAGATGAAAATATGTTCCTTATCTGCAAAACCTTGATGTTTATTTAGAAGGGAACTAAAAGTGGATTTATGGTAACAGATGAAAAGTGTAATTAAAGAGTGTATATAAACAGGCTGAGAAAAACCTGAAACTGAGCAGCAACAGTACTCTCCTGAGTGCCTTGCCACAACTTTGTTTATGAATGTCTGGACTTCTTCAGGACTAATAGAAGACCGTAAACAATACTATGAATGTTGTGTTACTGTAAAAATTCTGATGAAGTATTTAGGAAAGCTCCAGTTGCCTTTTGGGATGAAGGGAGAAGCCAACGCTCTGCTCTCCAGTTGGAGGTTTCCCCAGCCTGGCAGGACGCTTGCCCGAGGGACCCTCGCTGGGCTGGCGGCTCTGCGGCGGCCGTGCAGCATCCGCACGGTGG